ATTGACTAAACTTAGCTGGAGAACCAATTCTAGACCCTGGGCTTGAAGACAACGGTGAACCTGGGTCCTGCAACCGCCTTAACCGGCTATTAGTTTCCTGCCAAAACCTGGCAGAGACGGCAATATTACTGGGTACATTCTTCCCTTTCAAATTCCCACTTCTTCCAGTTCCAGAATTGGTGCTCCCAGAAGATATACTATCTGTATCAGATGTAGCAAGTTCACAATGAGCCTCAATTAAAGAATTGGAATCTGGGTTTTGCTTATTAGCTTCTTTTAATAACTCGGAACTTCCCAAATCCAAACTCAGTCTACTACCACCATCAAAGGAAACCCTCCTGCTACTCTCATCAAGCATCATCGAATGTTGCAATGACTTAGCTAAAATTGTCCCAGATCCGAAAACCTTCCTTTCACCACTACAATCCAAGCTCCTATACAACGGATTAGAACCTGAACCCGAACCCGGGATCACTTGCCGTGTTCTCCCGGGCCAGAGTGGCTGATCCGCCGGCTTCGAGTTCTCCCCGTGATCTCTCACCGGAGTTGCTCGACGTCTCTCGGGAGTCTCTTTCCTTATCAAAGTAGAACCCACTTGAGCCTTTGTCTTACTGATCGGAAGCGAATAGGCCTCACCTTGGAAAGAAACCGACAAACTTCTCGTTGAAGTAATCAACATCTTGGTAGCAGCTGACATTTCCGCGGTGCCATTAACATTATTTCCTTGCGACAATTGACTCCCCGGACGCCTCCGGTCGACGGATTGAGACCGTTTGGAAAGCAAAGATGAAGTCGTCGAAGTAGAACTAGCATTTGTTGAACGAGAAACAAGCGGAGAATGAAATCTCGTAGCTGTTTTGTTACCCGTCGATATCGTATTAGTGGAACGAGAGATAAGCGGTGAAGGAAATCTCGCCGGCGTTTTGGCTGCTGCTGAATAAGAAGAAGTGGAAGGAGATGGAGACAAATACCTCGAAGAAACTTGTCTACCTCTGGGTTTTCTCGTAACAGTTGAGCCATTGTCTTTGAGAGGAGGCCTTTTTGCTGTTCCAGCTGTTGGGTTTTCTCTCTGATGGGTATTTGTTTCTTGTCGCGGTTCTTCAACGGACTGTGAAGGAGTTGGTGGACGAGACAATGCAGCCACCATCATCAGAGACTGCCAAGGAATCTAAATTCTTTTCCACATTGCTTTGAAAGAAACTTCTGTGTATTAATGGGTGGTGAGTGTCTCCATTTCCATGGCTAAAAAACTGGGGGGGGGGAAGGAATTTTAGGTGATCTAAACCAGTGTGTAGGGGCAGCCATACAGGGTTTTGGAAGGATCTTCCATTTTTTACTTCAACCACAGTGAAACCCAGACAGCCTTCTTTCTGGGTTTACAGAGATAAAGAGGAGAGAAGAGTAGGTAAGCTCAGATTTAGGAAAAGAAAGATAGAGAATCAGCTGGGCTTGTGGCTTTGGGTTTTTACGATTCTTCGTAAAACGTTAGGTTAATTAATTATAAATTTCCAACTTTAAAACGTTAGGTTTTTACGATTATTTGCAACTTGCATATGATACTTATGCACGATTAAATTCAAATCTCTTACAACTTCGATTACAAGCATGCATCAGATGGTATATCAATATCACAACAATTAATGTGAAACGAAAAATAAAGCAAATTAATTAGGAATAAAATCTTTAAAACAAAGATTAAGACCCTTTGTCATAAGCACAATCTTTTGATCTAACATCACTTTAATTAAGCTGAACATAAATCAAATCAATGATTAGAAAACACCTGAACCAATTGTTTATTGATATTATATTTGAGATTTAGTTCCATATTCCGGGGAAAAAAATATCAATTTTCTCAATAAACAAACAGCATACGGCCTACGGGATTTACCTTCAATTTGTGTTGTTATAGAGAGAGTACCCTAGGAAGAGCCGAAGAGGAGAGACATGAAAACAGCTTCCAAGCAACAAAGAAATTGATGGTATTAAATGAAATATTATACCAAACAAACTTCAAGTTTTAAAGATATGTATAGTGAATGTCTAAGTTTTAGTCCTCTTATGTTTAAATTTTAGATTTAATTATTTGATTTTAATTTGATATAATTTATCTCTTTATATTTACAACATTATTAGTAAATTCAAACTGATAATATCTTTAACTACTATTGTTAAAGTAACGACATGATTAAAAAAAAACTGATCACTTGATTACAATATAAACTAATTATTAATTAAATATGATTAATTGAATTTTCATGTGTTTCTAACAATGCCACGAACAATAAACAGGTAACGATAATTTCAAACGAAACCTACTAATAAGTTTATAAAGGTAAAGGACCAAATAATACCAAGTTAAAGTATAGGGATTAACTATCAAATTTCAACATAATGTAAGGATTAAAATATACCAAATTAAGAAAAGTGAAGACAAAAAGAATGCATAGTGATAATTGGAAGCAAAGTCTTATAATATAAATAACTCATTTGTTTAATTAGAGTTTAATATAAAGATGCAATGTCCCTCTTGAAATCTCCATTTCCCTTGTTTCCAACGCGTATGAAGGGTCCAACATTTCTACAGCTTGCAATAGCATTGAATTTCTCGGCACTAATTTTAAACACAAAATATTACCTAAAACTAAACCATAATTTTGCAAGTAGTTTTCCTTTTGTTTAGGGATGTTTAAACGGCAAATTCAGTTTAAAACTAAATTAACTGTTAATTAAACCATTTTTTTTAATAAAATCATTAATTGAACTGAAGAAAGTTCGGTTAATTCGATCACTTACCCAATTAACCAAAAAAAATTATAATTTCTTAGTTAGATTAATTTGAGTTTAATATAGATACTTTTTTATTTGAGTTAAAATTTAATTAAGTCTTGACAATTTAATTTATTGAGTCTAATATGATTAAAAAATAGTCGTGTCTTAATTCTTAATGTGTTTGGGCTTAAAATATGCATTTAATATATATATTAAATATCTAATATTTTCGATTAATTAATCGATTTGGAAATGAATAAATCATTAACTGAATATTAAATTTTATATCTTAACGTAAAATCATGGTTCGTTATGATATTATATATAGTTCTTAGAGAACAAAGTTTCTACATATTGTTGAATTATATATGTTGGGAACTCATCAAGTGGTTTCAATGGTTAAAAGAAGTGTTCTTCTACTTTAAGGTTTTAAATTTGAGTAGTTGTGTTTATAGGATGTGTACATTGTTCATAGTTAATAAAAATTAATATTATGATCACTTCATACTAATAAAAAAATTATAAGTTGGAAAAGGGTATAGAGTTATCTTAAAAGCCAAAATGAAGTTGACTTATTTATTTGAAATCATCCTATGAAAGTGGGAACAATGATATTAGAAAAAGGTGGTGGGTCGTCTAAGCGATCGTTGGACACTTCTAATCATATGAAAATGACCCAGATGCAATTTTATTTGTTATGTCCCTCCACTTTTCCTTCTAATGGGTAGTTCCCCATTTTTAATATATATATTTATACAAATTGTTGTGTGATCCATGTGTTTAAAAACAAAACGATGTTTCAATCATATAATTTCTTTTTTTCTCCCCCTGTTTTATGCATTTGGGGTGCGAGGCTTACATCAATGCCCTCTCTTTCTGTTTTTTCTGTTGTAATTATGTCCATTTGATTGTATTGATTTGATTTCTTTTTTCTATTTATTTGGAGGATTATATTGTCATACTCGTATATCAGTTATAGAACCTATCGAGTAATCTCAGTGATTAAAGAGAATATTATTTTCTCTTGAGATCTTGAATTCGAACAATTGTATTTTTAAGCTGTATATACATTATCAATGATTAAAAAAATTATGAACATATATTGTTTTATTATCACTTTACAATACTAAAAGAAATATAGATTATGAAATGATGGAATAATTGGTCTGAAAGGAAAAACACCCCATTAAGTGATGCTTTTGTTTAATTGGGGTATCGGTTTATTCAATGCCTCACCCTTTAACTCCGTGCAACACACCTCTATTAAAGTTGAGGGTAAACTACATATTTACTAACAACGTTAAAAAAAACAGAACTATTGATGTGAATTTTTTTTTTTATTTTTTTCAATGATGGCATTACATTATGTTATGGTGACATGCTAGCATAGTCGTTAATTTTCTAACAACGGTCTTCGGGTTACCAAAATGGAACTAAAACACAAATTTAGGTATAATATTAAAAAAATAGTTGGATGATCAAAACGGAACAACGGAACTAGGGTGAATGAATATGTAGTTCACCCTAAAAAATATTTCTTTTAAGTCATGTTAATCTTATAGAACTACACAACGGGTCTCAGAAATGATAAAAAAAAGCTTCCTTGTTTTGAGAGCAAGATACCTTGACGAGAAGATGGGTAGTGGTGGCAGGGGAATCTGCGTTTTGTTTTGATGCTGGAGGGGAGATCAGATGGTTTTTCCGGTGGCTGCTGAATGATTAGCCTTTAGGATGAGACTGGAGAGATGGATTCGGATGCAATACGAAATTTTTTAGAACTTTTTTGGAACAAAGGTTGAAATGGGTTGGGATTTTCAGGCATCTTCTTGCTTGACTGAGAAACACAATGGCGGGAAGAACAGGAAGTTCATTGTCACGGGTCGCCGTTTTGGTATTCACCGTTACTTTCAGTAGTTATTGAAGAAGACAAAACTCAATTCTTCCATGAACGCCAAAACGTATGAATTTCAAGCAACTCCATATAAAAGAAAACTAAAGCAGATTACGATATTATCATTCTATTATCATCCAACTAAAACTGAAGATTATATACTTCATCTCCTTACAAAATGCTCACTTATCGTTTATATTACTAGATTTTTGCATCAAAATGTAAACTTTTTAGATAAATGTAAGTATTATATCCAAAGATCAGCAGCAGCAAGCTGCTATAAAAGGACTAGAGTTTCTCAAAAAATGTAAACTTACAATAACTGTAACGTGGAAGAAGAAGGAAACAAAATTTCAAAACAAAAAATAATGATTCCCTACTTGATTCATCCCTTCCAGTTTTAGTGTTTTACCCCTAAGCATATCTTTGCACGAAGACTATAAGGACCGGATTCCGGTGAGTTAATATTTTTTTGTCCTATCTTCAATCTGTTGTAGAAAGCCGGATCTTGAACGCGAGAGAACTGATGGTAGCAAATCAATCAGCAGGTAGCTGAGACCGGTTTCTCTAGACTTGCCATGTATGTCATGTAGACAGTCCACAAATATGAAAATGAATTGCTCACCAGCGGCTGTCAAAATGAATGCCATCAGGAATAAATTTCATGAATTAAAGCCAGATAGAGGAAGGAAGAATCAACCATACCTGCAAATGAACTGGGATGAACCTGAAAGTGATGAAGTCGCAAAACGGCCAGTACATCACACCACTTAACATTGTAGGAAGCAAGTCTCGCTTTAACCTGGAAACAATTTCTTCACTGCTTTCACCTACAACCATCCGCAACAACTTAAGGCAAGCACTTACCGCGATTATTTCTCAAATATGTAAAGGTGAAACGCGATATGAGTCCTAGTTGGATCATGTAAATATGGCTATAAAAAGGTTATGCATGAGTAATAAACATCATACATTGATGCAATTCGGTTGTTTTCAAAATACAAAAATCGGCAGAGCGAATATATATCACGACAGGAATAATAAGAGCGTAGTAGAGTAACTAAAGAATCGCAAAGCTGTATTCATCTTCCGACATGCAAGGAAAGGCATCGTAATAGAAGTAGCTGATGAATGCAAAGCTTTGTTCATCTTATGACATGTAAGGAGCATACCTTGTAGGCGAGCATTCAACGAGAAGAAAACAACCGTCATGACAGGTCCAAAAATGAGCTGCCCCATGGCCATTTTCTTGAAAGTAGTGATCAAATCCCTCTTCGGAAAGAGCTTCGACATCAAGTTGAACCAGAAATGCAGAGACGGCCCTAATATCAACAATCCATATCCAGCCATGCGTGACATCCTCACCAAATCGTAAGGATCCGCCAGCGACATTGAAATTGTCTGACCACAGAATTCCATATTAAAAACATAATAAAAGATTTAGATCCCGACTCCTGATGCAAGTAACTACAAAGACACTGCTGGGAACACAAATACAAACAAGATTTTGCATGTATGCTAAATGCGTAGTTCATATCCAAATGCAGGCAAACTATACTTAATACGGCAAACAAAGTTCCAAATGATAATTAAACAACAAAATACCCACTAAATCATTTTTAATGAAATACTACATGGTATTTGTTCAAGCATAAGTAAATAAATTGTGAAGCCTAAATGTTCTAAATGCCTCCAAGAAATGAAATGTTTGTTTTCTGCACAAGACAAGTCAAATTTGACTTGTCAAAAGCTCAAGCATAGCCTCCTTCCATGTTTTTGGTGTGAAAGGGCATCCTTTGTCAGGAAAAGAAAAAGGTATAGTTTCCAGACAACCCAGAAGATTTTCTTTCCTTTTCCTCCACTTTCTCATCAACCAAACAGAAGGTAAATACAAAGTTTTCAACTTTTAATCAACAAAAAACAAGTTTAAAAAAATAAAAAGGGATTACCTGAGAAGACAAATCAGCAGCTATATAAATAGCCGAGGAAGTAACGCTCTTAGTTAAAACGGGCCACGATTTCACCATTCCTAAATACCATCCAACAAACCCAACCTTCCCAAACGACGCCGCTGAAGACGAAGAAGAAGAAAACGGAGAAGTCAAAAGCGAATGAGGGATCTCATACTCTCTCACTTTCTTTACCACGCTCGGGAACCGGAAATACTCCCTGGTTTGAGCCTGCGTTTGGTTCCTGAGAAACGAATGGATTCTGTTGATCGGGCCGGTTAAGTCGGATTGTTTCTGTAACAGGCGGGAGATGCTACCGAATCTACGCAAAGAACCGCTCATCGTGTTTCCTTCTTCTGCTGTTTCTATTTCAATGGCGTCGGGTTTTGAAAAAGCTTTGATTTTCGGAGAGGGTTTTGCGGTGGTTTTTGATTTGTTTCTAAAGAAAAAGAATGGTTTTTTTAATTTTTATTTAATTTTGGGCGTTGTTTATCTATTGGTGGTGGAAATCTCGTGGTTTGTCAAGAATATTTCCGCGAGTAGTAAATTCAGTTGTACTCACTTATGTAAAATGGTTTGATTATTCTTCTCACATTTGTAATTTAGTTACATTCTTTTTATTCCCATGAATTTAAATTTTTTAATTTAATAATTGAAGTACAATAAGTATACTTTTTTTAAAAAAATTATTTAACATAGTTTTTTTTGTTTAATTTATTTTATTTTATAAATTAATATCAATTTAAGTGAAATAAATTAATATTAAAAATAATAAAATTTTCATTATATCAAATTAAATTCTTTAATGCATGTTATTTTTTTAGTTGAGAAGCACAAATAAGAGTACCAAAAAATAAAAATAAAAAACTGTTTCAGAGGATCACATATGATATTAATGGGTTTTTTTAATAAACATTAAAAATATATTGTGCTTGTGCTTGTCAATTTTAGATATCAGATTAAACTTAAAATATATAAATATCATATTAAGAAAATATGAAATGTAAATATTAAATAAAAAATATTAGTTTTCGGTGTTATATGAGGTATTAAACTTAATTTTAATATAATAAATGGGTGGATATAGCAGCGAGTAGAAATGAAATAGTGAAGGTACAGCGCGTAGAGGAAGGGTTGTCTTGTTCGAACACACTCCGTGAGTTTGGGCTGTTAATTAAATAATTGTTTTTGACACGATCGCTTCCCCCTTTCTTTTAACGACACGTCTCTTTCTAATTACACGTAACCAGTGAACCTCCAAGTTTCCAAGTTCTCTTGTTGGTTTGTGTCCAAAGAGCTGACCTTTGCAGTTACATCCCTCCACCTTTGTTTACTTGAAATCGTTGCCCATAACTTCAAATTCAAATTCAAATTCAAATTCAAATTCGGTGTCTCGTATGTATATTTCCTACTTCTGGTTTAGTGTTCACATCCACCGGCCGATTTAAATATGATAAAATAATTTAAATTCGTCAAATTTTGATATAATTGTATACATAAAATTCAATTTAATAGTTTATAATTTAAATTAGTCTTTCAATAAATTAAATATCGATGATCAAAATTTTTAAAACAAATAGTGTTCTATGATCAAAATGAATAAAAATAAATTACATTGATGGTTTCTTTCGTTTTCAATTTGTCTTTTTTGTAATAATAAATCGTACATATATTAATCGATAATAATATCGGTAAAAATAACTTTAAAGAAGTAAAAACATGACCTACTAAAGAGTGAGTTGCGCCATTAGTTGCACGACGAACATGACATGTTGCAATATAGGGGTTACCGTCAAACAAACAACGAACAGAACTAAAGCACGGAACGATAACCACTGGCGAAAACTCCATGTCAAATACCATCCAAATGTCATGACACTGTTCAATATTTCAAGGGATAGATTTGTCTTATCCAATTTTGAAAACAGTTACATTTTGATCTTTTATATTATCAGTTCATTATATTTTAATTATTGAACCATTAACTCTTTTTAGTAAGTTTGTAAAAATGAATAAAATTTTAACATGACCCCTGAATAAAACGGACCAACAATAAAATAACCAGAATGCAACTTTTTTAAAACTGATGACCATAATAAAATAGACAAAATAAAAGAGATCATCAATGTATTTTTCCCAATAAATAATCAAAATCTTGAAAGTCATACAGATGTAAATAACATTTATTCACCAATAGATGGAATTCAATGCAAGTCATATATATCACATTCAATCTATGCATTTCCATGCAAGTCCATCCACAGTCGCAAGGAAACAGTGGGGTAAGTAAAAATAAGCAAACAGAAAACAGAGAAGCAAGCAAAAGGTAAACATGAATAATGTCACATTAATTATAATCCCAAACAAGCAACAAGCAAGTATCAAGCCCGAGTAGATCCAATCGACACCCACGATAGAACACGGCACGGCAATCACAACATTAAAATCATCGTGCGAGCTTACTCGCTTGATTTTAAGTAGTTAAATCATACATCATAACCAAGGTACAAGATAGATGCATGCTACAAGCTGTCTCAACTTCCCGGTTCGTTATTGAGTTCGCTGTGCTATTTTTTAAGATGAGGAAAACATGTGTATAGATCAGCTTTAGGATGCTTTGCCTCAGCGTGCTCCCGGCACTTCACTTCTGATGTAGTACAGATGAATGTTTGCATGCAAACCTTGCACTGTATTCAGCCATCACCACCAACCATATATGATATCACAGAGTAACCGAAGGGAAGGCCAGCAATGACGGGAACAACAACAACAACAACAACAAACAAGTAACAGTTCTGTCAATGAACTAAATAAGACGTGTCCAACTCAACTTAATAATATCAAACTAAAGATATGGTGACCGAATGAAAAATCAAAAATAAGAAAGATTATTTGAAAGCTACAAATTGGCTTCACTTTCATGCAAACAATGATCAACAAAAGAAAAACTACGGCCAAACCAGAAATAAAACTAGAAGTTCAGCTGTGGACTAAAGAACTTGATTTGCAGAATTATGCAATCGTCACGATCTATTCAAGGAACTGTCATCACAGTTAAGAAATGGTTATTGAGCAGGTCCAAAGCTTAAACGAAATGATGCTAGAATTTAGCAATGTGATTCCATCACGCTGCAAGCCTCTTTTATCACCATGAACCACATAAACCGAGCAATATCAGACCATATTGAGATACAAATATTCAGAAATTATACACAGTTTTAGGCATCGAATCTTTTCTAGCAATCTTTTTCAGGAACATAACACAATAATACAGATTCTCATCATAAAAACTGACAATTTGCAATAGCTCATGCAAGATAAGCTAAACTCAAATGATGATACCTCAGAGTTTCTGAAAAGAAGAAAATGGAGCAAAATTTAACAACAGTGAAGCATTAAGAGGTGATAACAGATTCACAGCCCCAATCAGAGTCACAAGTATAATTTCAAGAAAGCATCCACCATGCAATAGATTCCAGCAGCTTGACAGTTTAATCTAAGAATCTGTAAAGCAAAAACCAGTTTCAACTACAGATACAAAAACCAACAAGGAAATGGATATTAACCCGGGAAAAAATGCAAGGTTCAACAAAATTTAGTAAGGAAACCTGTCAACACAGCGAGAAGAAATTCAACCCAATTTCTGAATATTGGTCTATATGCATAAGGAAACAATAAATAAATAAATTATTGGGGAAAATAACAGATCAAGCAAAAAAGTAGTGCTAAAACCCTAACAAATAAAAAAGAAACCAGAGTCTGCAAAGAGACTACCTGGATGGTCATGGCCTTCTTGTTAGAGTCAAGTTGGCTTCCTATCAAAACAAAAGTAAAACAAAGAAAAGGTTATGATGAATAATAGATCTAAGCAGAATACAATTCTTTTGTTTAAAAGGAACAACGAAAACGATATAAATAAGAGATGGAAAAGCAGAAAGATTGTAAAACCTTTGGCGGCGGCCTTTTGCTTTTCCAAGTTCTTCTCACGAGCCATCTTGGATTTTTGGGCATTTCCTCCCCCCATGGCGGATTGATAAAGATTGGTGAAAAAAAAAGGTTTCTGATCGAATGGGATTCTGAGGGTTTGAAGAACTTGGAAAAGAGATGAGCTCTTTTTCAGAAGGCAATGGGAAATTGGTGGAAAATTTGGTGAATGATGACAATGAAAGAAAATGGAGCTCGAAGAAGTGGATGCGAATAATTAGGGTAAATACCACCAGAGGACCCCAAGCTATAATCAAATAATTATATTAGCTATTGAACTTTCAAAAATTATAAAACAATTGTTATATTTATGAATTATAATAAAATAACTATTAAATCTATTGAACTACTAAGAAATGATAATTAAATTTATCAAATTTTATGATAATTTTATCATAGCTTAAGGACATTCGATGTACTTTACTCAATAAATCATACAAGAAGTTATTTCTTTTTAAATGGTATGGGACAATTCCAAAACAATATCTATTCGCAATTTTTTTTAACCATTAATAATGTATATACATTTTATGAATACAACTTTTCGAATCCAAATATTTTAAGAACGACAAGTTCTCATCAAAGAAACCATCTAATAAGGTCAAATAAGAAATAAAAATTAACAAAATAAAACTCATTTTTTACAACTACATCGATTAGTCATTTTGGTCTCTGTCTCTAATCCTTTAAGAACGACAAGTTCTCATCAAAGAAACCATCTAACACGAACATTACCGGATCTATCGTGCCGTTCACAAAGAGCGAATAGAATAGAAGCCCATCCCCTCTACGTGGCTTTGTTTTTAGGCCGAAACATTGTCTGTAGTCGTAACCTTTGATTCTCCTGTCATTCTGCAACCAAAATAATGGGGTAAGTATCGAAACCTGGCAAAGATATTTACTATTGAAGAAACCAGGGAGAGATAGAACAAGTTAGTGTTTCCGAATCTACCTCAAAAGGGAACATTGTTTCTCCACCTTCTTCTACATCAGATAAATACAACAAGAACGATGCAACCTGCAAGAGAAAGTTCAATGTCAACTACAGACAATGAATTAGTTCTTTTGCATCAGCATTTGCACGATGGTTTGGTAAAAATTATAGAAGACACAATTACGGAAACAACATATGTTATCAGAAAACTAAAACCAGACTAGAAGAATCCAGAATGAACCAGCTGCAATTGTGCATGAAAAGAATAACATATAAATAAGAATTTCTCAACCGTGCCACTGAATGAAGAACTAAAAATGATAACTACATAGACCCCGGCAAAACTAATTATTCTATAAGAAAAAGATTTTATCATTCACCTGTTATAAAGAAACATAGAACTTAAAAGTCATATGAAAACAAAACTAACTGGATTCTACATCCAACCATACTTGCAGGCAGAGAGAACAATAATCATTTCAGTCTGCCACAAATTGCACATAAAATATCCGGAAACTAAGATTAAACAGGCATGTAATGATGAGGTTCGCGTATAAGACCATACCCTTTGGCTTGACTGCGGGCCATATTCAGATGGATTGAACGAATCATATCATACTTCTGCCCAATCTCATACCTCAAAATATTAAATGCCTGCAATAAAAGAATGTCAATCTAGAGCAGTTCAAAAACAAACAACAGGAAAGATTTTCCATTTCAAATTTTCAACGCAAACTGGAAATGTACCAAGAAAATATTAGCAGAGTAATGGTTTATCATTAGACACTATAAGATTCACAAGTTTGTGAAATCAGTTCAAATCAGGAAAGCATATATATAGCCATATCAATAACATAATTTCTAACATCCAGACACATTTAAATCAATAAGACCAATAAAGTTCTTTTTTTAAAATGCGGACAATGTATTTACCTATATCCCTGGGGGTGATATGATCATAAAAGAGTGTTTTCCAATCCACCCATTCTAGGGACAGACCTCTTAAACACCCTTCACTATAATAAATGCTTCCAAGAATCATTCTATGGACAGTTTGATTAACATGGCTGCCATAGACTACAAGTATGTAATTTCAAACAACTTGAATGTTTGCAGCATGACACAGTAACTCTTGCCAAAGATGCCAGAATACATTTAAGGAAGTACATATCTGAAATTTCAAAGACAAACAATAAGGTTGCAAATTTAAAAGCCTTAACATTAAACTGTCATTGAAAGTTAAATTGAATTGAATTTTTCTTCAAAGGTTCATTCACAATACTCCATGGTCCATTTCATACAGTTGCCTTAAGTTTATAATTCCCTTAATTTTGCAGCCAAATGAAATGGGAAAAATAAATGAAACTGGAAAAAGCAACCTACCGAAGAGTGTCCACCATGTCCATATTTGCTTAAACATTCTCAAATAATGTTGTAGATACTAACACAACTAACAATATGAGATAAAAATAATAGCAATAGTTTTAGAAGAAAAGAAAATGTACCTCTCCATGGTTTTGCGGGATGCTTGTAACCTTTGCGATTTTTTTCTCAATTAAGTCCAGGGTCCCAGTTTCATCATCTGATGCACTGAGAAAAGTTCCTGAACTGTTTCCAAGGAAAGTATAAATTGACAACACAAGCATCATCAAGAAAGCAAGCTACCAGCATTCACTGATTCAAACAATTCAGACACAAAAGCTATATCTGGTCTTAATGTAAATTTGAATCAGTTAATACTTAATAGAAGCATTGACTTATAACTTAACACTAAACTCAAAAAAAAAATTATAATAAAAACAGAAATGATTGCATAAAAGGGGCACCTTGTTCTAGTTCCTTTTGTGCTTTCTTCGGTTTCTCCCTTGCGCAAAGCCAAACCAGATGGTCTAAGTTGCACCTTTGCCATTTCAATCACTCGTTCACATTGTTCCACAGTTGCAAAGTTGGGAAAATAGTAAGCTCGTGGTTTCCAACTTAAAACCTGCATTCAACAAGAAGCAGGTAGTTTTAACAATGCCTTGATCTTGTTTAAGGGATCCGGTGCTACTTCCCACTAGACCAACTAGTTGTTGGTACTAAGTGGATAAAATGTTAACTCTCGATCAATCATGGATTCTCCAAACTACATAGTGAAATCATCATTTTCGATTTACCCAGAACTTTGGCACCACTCTGACAGACTGACAATCACTAGACTCGTATAATAATCCGAGCCCATCATTCAAAATTCAATCCATAGAACCGGGGAAAAAACGCTACAAACAAAAGATGAGAAAATTACCTGAAAGGGAATAGATTCAATCGAGCTTTCCCCAGTTACTCCATTTGGCATCGTATCACGATACTCCTTCTGACGCACCACCTCGAGCATTCTCGGCTTGGGTCTAATCATCGGAGCATACAGTAAAAAAAAAAACCCACTAATTAAACGCAAAACCCAAATTCTAAACTCTTCAAGTGAATGCATTTTACAACTTACCTGAAAGAAAAAAATGGGAACAAACAAGCCGAAGAGGAATGCAAGTAAGCACAAGAGATGGGCAATTGGCAGCCCTAGCTTTCTGTTTGAACTCTTCCATTTCCCTTTCATCAATGGATCTTTTTTTTTTCGGTTTTTTTCTTCAAAATTCAAAAAATTCGTGTCTCAAAGATGCTGGGTTTTTCTTTATTTCCTTTTACCCGATTATGATCGACTTTTTCTTTATTTTCTTCTCAATACTATGCACGTTTACTAGTCCTGCTTAAGAAGAATGGACAAATGCGCCAATGCCATCTTAGACTTAGAACCTTGAAGGAGTCGATCCACAAATGAAAAACAATAGGGTAAAATAGACTCCAAGTTGTTACAGGATTGTCTCAGGAAGGGCGGATTAATATATGATTAATATACGGTATTATCAGATATATTAAAATATATTTAATAAATTCGGTTTAGCGGTACCTATTATGTTGACAACTAATAATGTTTTAGGTAGAAAATATGAAAAACTATTAAAAAATTTGGTAACCGGTAAACTTTAGTTATCGGTAAGTATCTATCCTTTTTATAAAAGTGTCCATACTTTTAACATATCAAATAAATTTTACCGGTTTTGTCATAATGAATCTGATTTTGTCGTATTTTTACCTGTTATATTGTAAAGTATCTATCCTTTTTATAAAAGTGTCCATACTTATTTCACTGTGAAAATATATTTATTATTATCTTTGGTTAATATTGTTAAATTTAAATTTTAAATAATATTTTATAAAATATCAAAACAACAAATAATTTTTTTGTGTAAATGAAATTATTAAATTAATATTATAGGTGGAAAACATGAAACACTATTAAAAAAATTGAAACATAAATTACATAAAAAAGTATATATCATTTTTATAAAAGTGTCCATACTTATAAAAGTAGGTCTAAGTCATGAAGAAATATTAAAAAATTATGCTACCGGTTCGTGTCGATCCAAATTAAAAATGTGTCGATCCAAAACGATATAACAGGTAAAACTATGACAAAACCGGTATAGAAATGATAAAACCGGTAAAGCTCTACCGGATACATTTAAAGTGTCGGTACTTTAATATAATGATCGACACTTCGTGAATTTAAAAGAGAAGCAGTTTTAAATCCTATAAAGTGTCGATACTTTTAAAAAATGTATCGATCCAAAACGATATACCATGTAAAAATATGATAAAATCGGTATCAAAATGATAAAACCGGTAAAACGTTACCGGATATATTAAAAGTGTCGATACTTTATACAATGATCGACACTTTGTGAATTTAAAAGAGAAACAGTTTTAGCGCCTATAATGTGTCGATACTTTAAAAAAATATATCGATCCACAACGATATAACATGTAAAAATATGATAAATCCGGTATCAAAATGGTAAAACCGGTAAAATGATACCGGATATATTGAAAGTGTCGATACTTTCGTAAGTACGTGTAATAAATTATCGACACTTTCAAAGAAATAGGTAATTATCCTTTCGAAAGTATCGACACCTGACATAAAAGTATCGACACTTTTGTATTTGTATCGATTAAATATAAATAACATATCCGATGAAAATATAAGCTAAATATCCTCTGAAAATAGATAGAACGGACGAGTTTTTGAAATCGAAGCGTAATTGTTGCTGCATTTCAAAAGGCGTTTCTAAAGCGAAGTTTGTTTGTTTGTTGCTGCAGTCGAATCGAAAAGTATGTTGTCGAAACCCTAATTTTTTATTATT